TTGAATCATTTTGGCATTTAGGTCAAAACCAGACATCACAATAAACTAAATGCAGCAGCATGAATGCATCAAAAGGTTACTAACCTTATATTTTATTTTAATTTCCTAAAAAATATTATTTTCCTATATTTGAAGGCACACTTAATAACATAATTGAATCAAATTTACTTATTTTAAAAGAATGAAAATTTTTGGGTGTTACAGTACGCCGAAAGATCAAGGGGGGTTCGGAGTCCTAAACTTAGACGTACATAACATGTGTCTCCTAAGCAAATGGCTTTTTAGGTTGTTGAATGGAGATGGGATCCGGCAACAATTGCTTAGGAACAAGTATTTAAGAAAGAAAACTTTGACACAGGTTCAATACATGCATGGGGACTCCCAGTTTTGGGCTGGCCTTATGAAGGTCAAGGAGGAGTTCCTATCGTTGGGCAAGTTTGATCTAGGCGATGGGTCTCAAGTGCGATTTTGGGAGGACTCGTGGATAAGACCACGTCCTTTAAATTCTCTCTTTCCTGCATTATATAATATTGTTAGGAAGAAAAGCGCATCTGTAAGAACGGTGTTGTCTATGACACCGTTAAATGTGGCTTTCAGGAGATCTCTGGTAGGTGTTAATTTACAAGCATGGCACGATGTGGTCGCCATGGTTGCAGATGTACAGTTACAAACCAGAGGGATCGTTTTGTGTGGGGGCTACATCAGAATGGATTGTTTTCAGTCAAATCCATGTACAGAGCCATTTTAGGAGTTGAAGCTATACCTTATAACACTTTAATATGGAAACTGAAACTACCTCTCAAAATCAAAGTATTTTTGTGGTATTTGTATAAGGGAGTAATCTTAACAAAGGACAATTTAGCAAGGCGGCAGTGGCAAGGAGATAGAAAGTGTTGTTTCTGCTCTTCTGACGAGTTATACAACATCTATTCTTTTATTGTCATTTTACTAAATTCGTGTGGCGAATTGTTCCTGTTTCCTTTAATTTAATACCTCCAACTAGCATTTACAATTTGTTTACAGGCTGGTTAGATGGGATTAATTGGAAACTAAAATCTAAGATTCTTGTGGGTGCAAGTGCAATTTGTTGGGCGATATGGTTAACCCAGAATAATATAATTTTTGACAAGGCCGCAGCACCATCTTATTTGCAGGTTATCTTCAGGGGACCTACTGGACCAGGTCCTGGTCCCTACTATAGAAGGAGGAGGATCGCCAAATGTTAATGATAGGATGTAGGAATATTGAGACAACCGTGATGGAAGTATTTGCTAGATACGGTTGGAGATTTAGTAATAGAATTGCTCTCTAGATGTCGAGCTTGGAAACTTCTCTATTTTTTTCTTTAGATCAAAACTTTGTGTTTGAGATTGCATGGATTGCAGTGCTTGTGTTGTAATAAGCAACAGTTATATACATTGGTCGATGCAGAAGCTGGGATATTAATATATTCCCTTTTCTAAAAAAAAAGGTGTTCTCACAGTTTAATTAGGGACTATAGAATAGTAAGGTTTATGATACGATGCTATTAATAGGGATTCTGGTTGTAGAGATTTTTGCATTTTAATTTGTTTTGGGATTATGATCCGTGTTCAGATATATGCACACGGCAATAGATGTTGAAATCGAGTTTGTCTTTTAAATTAATTAAGACACTGAAAAAAATATATTGCCAGTTACATTGCTTCTGTTAAGGTTGCCAATCTACAATTTCAGATTGGACTTTGTATGCTATAACACTGCAACTGCAGTAGGTGCCTCTCTATTTTTCACCATCTTCTTTGATCTGTTCTGCAGTGGGACCTTGAACGCCATACACAGGATCAATAGCTACATGGCAAAAAGTCTATTCATGACCAACCAAACCTACATACAGAACTATGCTCAATCCCTTTCCTCTAATTCAGCATAATTATGCCATATACTCACCAATTCTAGGAGGCAATAGCACCTAGACACCTGGGTGGGATTTACATTCTGGTTTTTATTCCTATTTTTTTTATTCCAGTATCTAAATATCTAATTATAATTATTGGAACTGTGTCTTTTTAAGTATTGAAATATTATAGGAGGCAAAACCGCAAAAGTCCGTCGCGCCATGTTAGAGCAGCTCTTAGTTGCACCACGTCATGCTAGGCAGCTGAGTTCCTTTGTATCTACAAATAATGTCTGTTTCGTTTTGTTCTGTTTTGTTATTGTGCTACAGGGAGGACATTAGCTAAAACCACTGTGGTCCACTGACGGCCTCAACATTGTGATTCTGGCCTCTGGTGGCGATCCTCCTTGTGGCCGGTATTACAGCGACGTCTACTGCCTCAACGGTACGTGTCCCTTCAAACATGCCCTTCACGTACTAATACTCTGATAAACAGGTTAGTGTGCTCATTCATTCCAAGCCTTTGTTTGCCTCATGTTTTCTACTAAAAAGCAACATGTTGATTTGGTTAATTCAATATCGGTTAATGCTACATGAGCCATATAGCCCCGTTCACAGAAAACCAAATGTTTCCATGTGAAATGCAGAAGTAGGAACTAACGGTTAAGATAGTTAATTGCTAGCCATCCATGAGTTCTGTTCTAAGGCAGATTTTCAGATTAAAATTTAAGAAATTAAGAATCTCTACAGCATTGAGGAAATGTTTATTTATTTTTCAATGGAACGGCAGAAGCTTTTCCATTCAGTTAAAATGGGTTTGTTCACTACTTGGCAAGCAAAATGTGATACCATTAAGGAAACTTAAACTGGGAGGAAATACAAAGCACCTTGAGAAATGAACAATTGTGTGATCTTGGGGAGGAAAAGTACGCTAATTTCTTTTAGCGTAGTTTTATTACAGATAAGAAATTGCATTTCAATCTGCATGAGCTTATGAAATGGAACAATTATTTTGGCCCTTTTTGTTGCTCTGTCAATAACCACATATTTTTGTTGAAATCCAGGAGCACTGCTCAATCATATAAGAGTAGAAGCATTCAAGAGTTTTTTTCATCAAAACAATTTTGATGGCATTTACTTCACTGAATGCAACCTTATTTTTGTTCCCTAATTAATTCTGAGCAAACTCAGATATATGTAAATGTTATATCTCTTCTCTGTTTTGTTTATCTATAAATTTTACACAGACCATTATACATTTATAATAATGTTCACTATATACACAATAGGGAATATCTTTCTTATCGTTTGACAAGGATATTCGGGCAAGACAAAATATTAACATTTTTTGTGGCTCCCATTGCAACGCTTGGGCATTTACCAATATAAGCATAAGACTGAAGGTAATGGACCAGTCTGAAACTGCCAGGGATGGTCACCAACTCATTAGGAGATTGGACAGTAACTGATGAAACACTGCTGGCTTTGAACTTTTTGGTATTGGACGGGTTTATAAAATTTTCATATATTTTTGAAAAGGTGTGGTTCATAAAGTTTTGTGATTGTATTAAAATCAAGGAAAATTCCTATCTTATATCATTCCATTAGCTAGAAGTGACTCTGTGTGTGTTTTGACCTGTGGAATCACCTTGGCTGATGATGCTTGTGCTCCCCGCTCCCAAGCATGGGTAGCCTGGCTTATGAATTTCCAAGTTATTTTAGACCTTTTATCATGAGCACTTTTGCCCTAATAAGTGGGGATGGACTTACAGATGGCATTGAAAAACTAAGATTTAAAAAACATGGATATAGAGTATGAATAGCTCTAATCCATGCTTAGACAGCTGATACAATAATCCTTTATCAAGGTTAGGTTGCATGTCTTCCTCAAACTTGACTACTTTGCTTTTCTCTTTGCTTGTTATCTTGGAGTATCTGCGTGGTGTCGACTGTCAACGGTGCTTAATTCTGTGATATTGAGGACCAGAAATGTTTGGTAGTACCACATATCTGATGGGTTGGGTTGACTGCACTTTTTTTTGTGCAATGAGATGAGCAGGAGCGGCATTTGAAGACTGATTTGAAAAGTGATGCCAACGAATGCTTGAAAGCTGTGAACAAGGACCAAAAGCCACCATAACACCATGCTGGAAGAAATTTTGAAATAGTTCTGGAGTTGGACATGGTTAATTTAAACAATTTTGTACATATTTAGTTATAATTAATTGAAAGTTTCAAATTACCTTGGTACCAGATAACTGAACTTTAGATGCTTTATTGCACTCTTCGTTCGGAGAATGGCAGTGCCATTTCTTCTCGTTGTTATGAGCACACTGATTTGCTCGTTGTCATATGAGAAAAAACTTGTGAGCATGATGCTTTTGCAAAAGAACAACTAAAGCTGAATGGACATAGTGTCGACCTGTGCATCCGTTGACCTCAACTGGCCATCGCTCTCTGAGGTCGACGGTCTCTGCACCGCTTAGCTTCCCGTGTAGAATGTAGACCGACTCCTTTATGGAATACAACCGATGTCCGCAAGAGTGAAATGACAGTGATGATGGTGGAATGATAGTCTCATCGTGTTCAAAGATTCATTTTTTAGTAACTGTTTAACACATGTTTAAATTACAATTTCTATGATATTATATTGCTTTCGGTGACTGTCAATTTCACGAACTTTACTTTTTGGATTAAATATTACTTTAACATTAATATTTAATTTCACAGTATTGTATCTTATCGTGGGATCCGTATGTTTTTTTTAGCAAAAGTTTAGTTGTCCCGTAGCAACGCACGGACACGCTACCTAGTAGCTATATAAACGTGCGTAAGTGCACGCGCAATATAGTTTGTCTTGCCATGTGTAACCCATATGGTAGACATGCATTAGTGCTACTTATTAGCTGCATGGTTTTGTACGTGAGCGAGGGCGACTGACTACACGATGTGGTATTCTGTACGTGATGAGCGCGCGCGCATACTATATATAGGCCACTTCGATCTCAGCAGCAGCACAAGCAGCTAACAGCAGACCACAAGCAGTGCAGCTCGACATCCATCGCCCTGCTAGCTAGCTAGCTAGCTCTCTTCTTCTTCCCCGGCACCAGCACCGGAGAGATAGATGGACCGAGAAATGCTAGGGCCGGTGGTTACAACGGAGTGGGCGGATCTGGTGGCGGTGCCGCCGTACTACCTGGCGGCCCAGACCATCATGAGCGACCGCCCGGAGAGAGAGATGCTAGGGCCGGTGGTAAAAACGCAGTGGCCGGAGCTGGTGGGGCAGCCGTACTACCAGGCGCACCAGACCATCATGAGCGAGCGCCCGGACGTGACAATAATGGAGCTTGCCCCGCTCGAGGATCTTCCCTATGCGTGGCCATCCGACTACACGCGCGTCTGCGTCAAGGTCGATACTAGAACCATGACCGTGTATGGTGACGACTCCTACCCGTATCCACAAGCTGGCTAACTAGCTTCGCTTCACAGCCTCCTGCTTGCATTGGCTTGTTGCTAGCAGCATGCCAATCTATATACTTAATTACGTGTGTGTTCAACGGAATAATGCGATGTCTGGTCGATCGCAGTGCATTTCGGTGCATGGGTGTGATGAATAATCCATCGTGTATTTCGATGGGTGTTATGGAATAATAATGAATCGTGTGTTTTTGTTCTCATCATGTCTACTAATGCTAGCTTTCCCACATAGTACGTCTATGCATTTTAGTTTATATATGGTGCATGCAATTGTTACTCACAGGTGAAACACATGTCACAAGCATGCATGATACGACTACTGACCAGAACCACCGGAGCCTCTGCGTTCGCTTTACTATGGCCTGTGTTCCTTCTTCTCTGGATACTCCGCCTCTTATATGAAACGCCAAACAAGCATCCCGACCTTATTACTATTATATATCTGTCGCTGTCATCAGGAAGGAGTCCAGATTTCTCTTCCAGATAAACTCACGTCATGTAGACGAGGTATCTATATAAACAGTGCTGCATTTGTGATCCATCCAACTCCAACACACAAAGAAACCACCTCCAGTCGTACCTCCTTTTGCAAAACTGTAAGAAGTCAAACACTATATATGGCGTTCAAAGCCAAACGAATAAATAATTCAGCTGGGGAAAATCGCCGTTGACTTTAAAAAAAACATACTCCCTCCGCCCCAAAACAAGTGTCTTTCTCGCTTCCTGAGAAGTCAATAACTTTTAACTTTGCTCAAATATATACGAGAAAATATTAATATTTATAGTTTATAATTAGTACCATTAGATTGATTGTTGAACTTATTTGGAGATACAAATTAAATGTTGCTAATTTTTTGTACAAACTTGCCAAATTTAAGAAAGTTTGACCGGCACGAACGGCATAGCGACCCTTATTTTGGAATGGATGGAGTACAAACCTGGGCCATCGAGCATCTCTTTGTCGTCAAAGCTTGAGGCAGGCTGCACTCGACTTGTTTGGTTGTGGTCAGAGGTCAGTTCCTCCTTTCAAAAAAAAAAGGGGTCAATTTCAAACCTATGGAATCGCCGGCTTGTGATCCCTGACTTGGCAGACAGATCATTAGATCAAGTAGTTTGTAGTCACCTACTAGAAATATATTTTTTGAAAACAAACAATTTTATGTGCAAAGTAGACGAAAAGTGCCCCAAATGGCGGCCCAATTAGTTTGGCAAGAACAAAAATTGATTTTGCACCTTGGGACTGCATCCAAAGATCCTTTGTGCCCACATCAAGTATAGATGGCCAACCCGATGGACCGGCACGGGCACTGCACGAAGGCCATGGTGCTAATGCTGGCACGAGCATAGATATAGTGTCGTGCCTCTGGCTGCAACAACTCTGGGGCACAACACGATTTTTGGGCCGGCACTATGCGGCCTTATGTATTTCTACCGTTGGATGGCTTCCGGGGATTGGATATAGATATGAGAGTATATATATACATACATATATATATATATATATATATATATATATATATATATATGACTCCTCAAACCTAGCTCCTCCCAATACCAAACACGCTCCCGGCCAACAGCCGTCTATCCGCATCTCCTTCTCTCATCCCCCACGGTCTCTCCCGCATCTCAGGTTCCCATCTCCCAGCTCCACAAGCATGCCCGCATGGCCACTTGGGCGCTCACCCTCCCGACTCCCGCGTGGCGATGCGCGCGGGGAGATTGAGGAGTAGCGGTGGGCGGCGATCGTGTGAGAAGTTGCGGACCTACCAAGCTCCGCAAGCGGAGTGGCGGGGTGATGCGCGGGAAGGTGCAGAGCAGCAACGGGCTGGCATAGGCACAGGCCTAGTGGGCCGCCATGGCCCTCGGCATGACCGGTCATGTTTAAGTGCCTGTAGGGCCGTGCCTTGGCCGAGAGTTAAGCACGGCGGCCCGACACGGCCCATCGGCACGATGTGAATTTCCTCCCATGGAGAGGGATTCAATTTTACAGATGGATTCATTGAAAAGGAAAATTTCGGTCAGATTTCCACCAGAGCTGCTCCTATCTTCTGGCTTCCTAATATGGTTGAAGTCACCTAGGAGGAGCCAATACAGGTCTTCAGGCATTTGAATATCGAGCCAGTTGATGAAGTTTAGCTTGCCTTCAGCTATAGATCGAGAGCCCATACACACATGCATGTTAGCAGCCACTTAGTTTCATTGCGAAGGGAAAGAAATCCCACTGATACTGCAAACTCATTGCTAAAAACCATGTTTCCACAAAACAAAAACGCTCTAGATTATGCGGGTCCAGTGCCTAAGGAAGACACGGTGGCGTGTAAAAGAAAGCTAGAACATTTTTCCGGTGTTGTATGCACGACCGGGTCCAGTGCGTAAGGCACAATTGCTGCGGAAGCCCACTAGGTGCGTGGTGTCCGCAGTCCGCCAACAACCAAAAATGGAAGTTTGTTGTGCGGCATGATAACTATTAGGTAAATTTCCTAAAATGGACTGTGCATCCGGATGGCAAGATACTGCACGTCCGTGCTGTAGTAAAATTCTTTTTATTTTGGACCAACAATAATTTGCATTCATTATGTATTAATCCATGATACCTATAATGGACCAGGTTGTGAGAGTGTATCCAATTCATAGACACAAGCTGACGATGCTAAGCAACGCAAACGAGAAAGGGAAAGAGCACGGTATGCGAAACAAAGGAATGAAATAAATAGGAAACATGGTGAAAAATACCAAATAAAAAACCAAGAAACTGCCCTCACTGGTAGATCGAGAGGTGACACAACAATCAAATTTAATCCAATCAATGTGCATTATCCTTTGGCTCTTATTTATGGTGTAATAATTATCTTGTAGCTGATGGAGTTGTATTAGACAATGAAGACACAAATAACGATGAAAATAGTAATTGGTTGCATAGGAACGATTCCTATCAACCCATGCAGATTGATAAAGAGAACCTAGGTACCTATTTTTCTATAAAGTTCCTCCATGATTATGGTGTTGTTGCATTATAATAGATATTTTGTAAATATAAGTAAGATGTTGCTGTCTATATTTCCTAATATAATGCTCATATGTTATTATGTAGCTGCATCTGATTCTGCTAACACCATGAACCACCCTAAGAGAATTGAGTCAAAAAAAATTATACGATAGGGAGCGCTATAAAAATATGACGCCTGATCAGAGGCAAGCAAGGCGTGAGCGTCAAAGGTTGCATAATAGTGAACCCAAGCGTAAGGAGGCCTTGAAAATAGCTGACAACAAATTTAGAGAGATGAGGAAGCACACGCTACACCCAGAGTCTATAACCATGGAGAACCCGTTATATATAACTGGGCGTTAGTACCCCACCGTGGGAGCATCTAGAGCTGATGGATACATGGCGAAATCCAGTGATTGGTTTATCCCGGAGTCCAGAGCAACACCTCTTTATATTCCTCCACCTCATGAGGAGGTCGATGATGAAGGATGTGATGAGTTACTATCTGGCCATATGAGATGTTCCCTTTCCAATTTAAGCAAAAGCAGTTCCCTATACGGCTCAACCGCAAATGACAAAGAAACAAGTCACAAGGCGATTATCCCTAACGTCGGGGTATACTTGCCAGAACCAGTGTTCTCGCACGGTCAATTGTATGTGGCACTATCAAGAGCTACGGCAAGATCGAACATTAGGATCCTAGTCGTGCCGGCTACTGAGAAGGACGTGAACAAGGAAAAGGGAAAGGGAATGGAAAGAAGAAAACGACAAAGGATATATTCACAAAGAATATCTTATATAAAGAGGTTCTAACTCCATAAAAGAGGTAATGCATCACACGTCGATACATATTTTTTCAGGATATCAATGGTACTTTAACTTTAAAAATTAACAAACAACTTATATGCAGGATACTTCTAACTATAGCTTCAGCCATCTGCATGCTTCAAATTTGCAAAAGAAGTCGACGCCGCATCTTGGAGTAGAAAATCTTCGGATCATCATTGATTGGTAACCAACTGCAGCTTGGTATTTGTGCAAAGCACGTTCTCTTAGTCGAACTATTGAGAGATTGGATTCTTAATTGTAGAATAGATTGTAAAACATGTATTGTGAAACACAAACTTCTTATGATTATCTTTCCGTAGCACTTGATTCCTAAAGAAGTGCAAGCTTATCTTTCGTGTATCGTAGGCATGAAGTGATGCGACAATTGATGTTGATGTTTCAATTTTGCATTCAAATTTAGAGTTATATTTTAAGTATCTACCTTTCGTGGAGACTTATGTAAAATTGATTGGAACATTATGATTGCGGTATCTATTTTAGATAACAGTATAACACACGCTCGTACATATGTTATCGTGGTATTATGAGTTCCTGTTGCAACGCACGGGCATTTATCTAGTAACTAAAAAAGACAAAACCGCCTTCGAAACCACTTTAAACCATGGTAGGTAGGTAAATTGAAATGTTTAAAGAGTTCAGGAAAAAGATGCCCGGTTCTAGATTTCAAGAAGAAAAATTATACTATAATGATAGTTCAGAGAAGTAAAATAGACTTTTTTCTTTAACCTTTGTACATATACATTTTTTAGAATTACACAGTACAATGTACGCACTAACAACATATGCACACACTAATGCAGGACTAGGTAGCAATCCCGGTTGGGAAACCCCCTTTAGTCCCGGTCTAGGACTAAAGGCCAGTCCTTTAGTCCTGGTCCCCTCAACCAGGATTGATTTGAGACTTCTAGTCCCGGTTGGTAATACCAACCGATAATAAAGACGGCTCTAGCCTGGGCCCTAGGCGCTGCCACATATTAGACCTCGAGTCCCAATTGGTTATACCAACCAACCTACCAGGACTGAATATCTCTTTTTTTCTTTTCTTTTCTTTTCTTTCTTGTGCAATGAGACGAGCAGGAGCGGCATTTGAAGACTAATTTGAAAAGTGATGCCAACGAATGCTTGAAAGCTGTGAACAAGGACCAAAAGCCACCATAACA